ATATGAGCTCACGATAGCAATGTTTATACCTACTATATACTCCACAGAGTAATAACAGAAAAACATAAAGTAATAAAATAGCACACAATAGCAATATTTGTCAATAGGCATGTGAAAACAGCTCAAGAAGACCGTACTGATCAATGTCGATTAAGACAAAGAACTAACCTTCAATGAAGCTTCATTTTCTATTTATATACCTGTTCCCCCTTTCTAGTGATCCCGTCTGCTACCCCTCCCAGAGCTTCCCCTTAAAGCACATGCAGCAGCCGATCACCTTATAATGAAAAGTTACTATTTCGCGTATTGTCGCGACACGTTTTTCATATATAATAACTGTGACAATATTCATAGAACTTTTAATGCAGTTAACTAACGTTGACACATTTATTTAGGGTTGTGGATCCAGCAATAAGTTTGCTGTTGGTATCTGTTTTTCGGAAGACTGCATCCGATCTCATCAACATGTTCCTTTACGTCTATGCGAAGTACCTACCAGTTACAATAAAACGTTTTTTCTTCTGTCATAAACTCAAAACAAATTTTTTTTTTGCCCACAGAAACAATAATTAAGCATTAGTTGGTGAATCTAATTTAAAATTTATTGCAGGAATGTTTTGTTGCCTTACACGAAGGTGCTGCTTCTTCGCATGTTCGTCATTGCGCACCAAAATCTGCTTGGAAATCACCAGTTCAAAGGGATATTGTTGAAGCTATCGTGAAACTACTAAAAGAAACTTTTTTAAATTTAATTGAAGGTAACTTCTAGAGCATAATGAGTGTTTTTACGTATCTTTTAATTCTGTTAATAGCATACGGTTTCTATTATTATTGTAAGAATTAATTAATGGTTAACAGGTATTCAATTGTTATCACAAAATAAAAAAATAAAAAAAACATTCTTTTTACGATACTTTTGGCCTAAAGATGTAAGTTTTTTCTGGCTAAAATTTTGCACTTAGGTACGGAAAGTGAAGGAAAAAGACCAAAATGGATACGACAACTGGAAGGCGGCCATAGCCTCGGAAAGGACATAGATAAAATGGCAGATGAACGCAGAATGTTAAGCAGGTTTGGCATTTGGTTGACGGTAAAACTATGTCCACCGGTTCCCGAAGCTCATCCGGTAAGTTAAATAGTCAGAACTAATTGCCAGTGACAACTGTATTTTTATTATTAATAATACTTATTGTTCTAAGGCTTCCGTTGGTTACATTATGTCGATGTTGTTCCAATGGTTCTCTACTACAGCTCTTCTTCCAAATGATTCTATGGGTGCTGCTTTGGAGCAACTTAAAACAGATGTAAGTTAAAAGCTACAAGGTTTTATTTTACTGTGATATTTGCACCTAAACTTTTCTGTCGTCTCTGAATAACTCATTTCTAAAGTATTTAATTATTAGAAATTATTTCCAGTTTTTATCTGACTGGTTGAACCTTGCTGTGGCCAATCATCATGATGTTTTCATTCAAACGCTAGTTCCCAATCCGCCTGAATATGCACAGGTTTAAAATTACCTTAAAAATATTCGCTAAGTTCAAACTATTGAAGACTGTTTCAAACATTTTTGTTAGACGATAACTATTCAGGTTGGTGGTGTTTGGGATAAATATGCAACACGTAAGGAACAGATAAAAGATGGCCTATTAAAACTGTTGGCTATATTGCCTTATGATATCATCAATGCTCAAAGTTGGAATGAAATCATACCGCATTGGTTGCAAAGTATATGTGAAGAAATTTCTGAAGACGAAATTTTAGACCTTAAAATTATGCTATGGTAAGTTTAAACTTTAATAACATAATATTGAAAATAACATTTAAAAGGTGTAGGCGTTATAGGAAAAAAAATTAAAAATTTCATGCATTAAAGATACCAGTTTTTGAAAACTTTTCAGTAGTAAACGCATAAGTTTGCAGCAAAATTTTTGAACCCGACCTGTGTCCATTGGCATTTGAAACTCAACATCTGTATGAGTTCATCGTCGTACGGCTGAAAGAAGGCGAAGAAAGCGAAATAATAAAGGCGCTTGATTGGCTTCATGTTAGTGGTATTTGAAGATAGTCATCTGTAAAATTTTTATCATCAATTACATCCTCACGAAAAAAAATAAAGTTAGGAACAGGAACTAAGTAATCCACTCAAAAATTTATTGATGAGGTTATCTTTTAAAACAAACTTGTATGATTTAGCTGTAGCAATTGTATTTTTTTGCAGCTCTTATGCAGGATGGAGATTTCGATTCCACTGCCGTTACTGTTAGATGCATTTTCCGCAAGTGCCGATCGGCTGGGCAATGTTGAAATCAGCGTTAATTCGGAAGATGATTTTGCCGAAGAGAACATTGCACCTCAAGTCCCCATGTTTGATATTATAGCTCAACAGGTGCTAAAACTGTTTTATATCATTAAAGAGCGAACAGTTTTTGTTATTGTTTTATAAATAAAACAGTGTCATAGTAGACTAAATTTGATGCTCAAACAAAATGCGCTAATTTTGCAGCTTGAATTGAATGGCCTTACTACAACTGAAGATTCTGAATACAGAGAGCAGATTTTTGCAACATGTTCCGCTCTGCTTCGAACTCCGTTTGTTCGCGGTGAACATCAATGCAAAAATCCAGAAATGGACGAATTTCTGGACTGCGGTGTTTGCCAACAATCTGCATTCGTTTATCAGACATTAGCCCATCTTGCCCAGCAGCTTTGTCCCAAGAATCAAATGTCCATATCAGCAGCTCCAGATGAGGTGCTATTTAACGCCACTTCTTGCATATATTTGATTTTTTTAAACATTTTCCTCACTACCGATTAACCAAAGATAGTTAATAATAGCACTTTAGCAATCAGACTGGACCAGCGAAGCAGTAGGTACAAAGTCAATCAAATCGAGTGTCAAAACACGCTCGTTGTCGCAGAACCAGCCCTTGACCGACAAACCAGAAGAATCTACCGTTAATTCTTCGGAAGCTTCGGATACGTTTGAAGAGCAGAATTCTGCTAAAGTGGAGGATCCCGGACTTGAATGTGTAGAAATTCTTCCCAGTGAAGAAGTACGTTTTTAGCTATTATTGTCCGATGATCACTTCAGCTGCAGCGACCAGATTACAAATTAAACGGATTGAATGGGAATCTATAAAACACTGTTCTCTGGCTTGCTTTTTAGAGCCTTGCTCGTCTGTTTTTTACCTGTTTTGAGTTTAGGTGGAAATGGCAACTGCCCAGGCAGTGACTTTAACAGAGAAAGATGTTGGCCGTGTAACCTACCATGTTGTCGCCTCATCTTTGGTCGGGCAAGGGAGGCTTCCTCCAGAACCTCCCAAGGTTGCTAATCCAGAATTTTGGGACACCTCCGTTGGTCGATTCCGTTTTAAAATTAGCGAACTACCACCAGAACTTCGTCTTATAAACGCTCTTCTAAATGTATGATTTTTTTTTCAAATTATACTTTAATAAGTTCAAATGATATACATTTGTGGGTTAGTCATTTAAATTTGCTGAGTTCCAGAATTTGGAGAGCGAGCCCGATTCCGACGTCCAGTTGTTCATGCTATCCACCCTGAAATATTTGTGCTTACACAGTGAAGTACTGTCGAAGGCTCGTCGAGAACATCGCGGGTTCTTGATATGGGCTCAAGAAAACCTGCTAATTCCTAAACTGTGGAATATGCTGCGCATAGATCGTTCTCATGTAAGCACTTTTGTCTAAGATAATATATCAATTAATTGTCTTCGAAGCGTCAAAATAAAGGTTTCCCAACATTTTTTAACCGTTTTTTAATGATTTAAAGTTGTGTAAAGCTGCCAACAACTATAACTATTATTTAGTTAAGCGAAATGGCAGTACCTTTGGTAATGCATTGCATAACGTTGCCGTGTGGTGATGAGATATTCTGGAAGACTGTTAATCGACAGTTTACAAATCCGCAGTGGCAGGAACGATTTAAAGCTGGTATGATTTAACATGACTTGAAATAGTTGCTGTTAAGAATTTCACATAAATCTGGATGGTGCAATTTCAGTGGAACGAATGTCTGTCCTTTGTCAGTTAGCCAATGCAAAAGCCATTAAGGCAAACAAAGTTATTCAAACATCATTGAGTTGCGGAATTTCTCATCTGATTGCTTCTGTTCATGATCCAAATGCAGCTATCGCTCAACAAGCTTTACTACTATTTCGTGCTATGCCATTATCCGCACTTAAAGTATGTTTAGACGTCATTGTTCAATAATAAAATGTTTATGATGAGCAGAAGCGTTTGTTTTAGTCTGTTAGTAATCCTCTTCTTCTTTACATTACTTCATTATTGCTTAAAAAGGACTAGACGATGATATTTTACAGTTAATGTGTTTGTGCCTTGAGTCGCAGTTTGATTCCGTGATTCCTGATCGCCCTTTGATAATATGTCGAATTCAGTTACTTACAGCTATTTTACCTGACGAAGAGATCCTCTCCTGGGATTTCTTTATTCAGCGTTTTGAAAGTTTGGCACTAGAAAGTCAACTTCGTGGTCAAACAGAAAATTCGTTTGTTCATGGTAAACATTTTAAATCGCTCGTATTTACGCTTAACGATAGTTCTGTCAGTTTGGAGATAAATTTTTTGTTATTCTGTATTTTTGTTTTGCTGAAAATTTTTATTATGGAGAGAGGAAAAAAAATTTTTGTTTGAAACGCTTTTATTCTACTAGTTTTTTGAACAAGTCGAGTACTTTTAGATTTGATGCATACAGATCCTTTGAGTGTGCTCTATCAACGCAAAGTGAACAAAGCTCGAGCTGCAATCGAGCAGTCGGCAACTGCTAGGTCGATTATGCGTACCTTACAGCGGGGATCATTAAAACATCAACAGATTATCGATAGCAGACGGTCGACAGGTAGCGCTTTATTTTTTTTTTCTGCTTTATTGTTTATTTTACAGGTGGAGTTCTTGGAAGTAAAATTTGGACGAAAAGCTTGTGCTTTTTATAGTAGTTGCTCTGGCTGTTGACAGCTTGTAACAATGTTGTTAGGCTAGTTGATTATGATGCAAGTTACAGACAGGTTTTAGCCTGTTTTAACTATGAACGTTTGAACCATCTTATTGTGCAAAGTCCTTCCATGTAGAAAGGAAGCTTGAAGTTATATAAAATTTAAATTTATTGACTTCCCGAAGTTGTTGAATTCTTGGCATTTACGAATTGACTCTCTTTAATGCATCATTGAAAATAATAATCTCTTTAAAGCTTTTTAGTTAATTGTATATTGTTTCCTCTGTTCTTTTCTTTTTCTTAGATAGACGCATCCTAAAAAAATTTTTAATCAGTTATTTTTCTATTAACCGGGTTATGTTATAGAGCAGCAGTGACAGGGATTACTAAATTTATTGTTCTTTTATCATTAATACTGTAATTACATGACGTTGTTGATCAAGTGTTTTAGAAAATTTTAAAAACAAAAAATTAGTGGCAATGTTGACCGTTTTTTTTCTTCAAACAATCTTTTCTAATATTGCTATTTGCTATTTTTACGAAGAAAGCATTGAAAACGAAAAGGCTTTTCCTTCACAAATCGAGAAGCGGAATTCTGAAGCAGCAATTAGAGCACGAGACAAGTTGCGTAAAGTGATTATGATGGTTAGAGTTGTACAGGCCTGGAAACGCTTTTCAACTCGTCTACCAACTTTTTCGTCTATTGTAACAAAGCTTACACCGCGACCGTCGTCTCGGCATCTGATTCGTACGTTTATGAAGCCAAAAACACGAAATATACTGAATGCAGTGCAACCACAGCTTCTGCAGTGTCTATCTTTTCACACAGCATGTGTACTTGACCAATTTTGCATGACATTTTTCTTGCCGATGAGTTCTTTTAGGTTTACATGAATCTTTCTCCAACGTCTCTGCAGTGACACCCATCAAGTGCAATGCACGCGCTTGAGCGTTTGTTTTTTGCCAGCGAAAAGTACGTAACAAAAACGTAGTTTTGACCGATAATTAATTTCAGGTGCAGAGGAATCTGAATATGCACCAAGAAGTTCTGGACTTTTAATGCCTGGTAGGCTGATATTTGATTTGACAAATCTTCTAGTTTCAAAACAGCATTGTTGAAGTAAACTGTTACAGTAGTTTTATATTTTGATTATTATCGATGACTTCTCATCATCAAACTATCTCTTTGTAATAGGTATGTCATTTAGGTGCTTACTCAAACATTCGGGAATTTACTGATGAAGAAAGTAACATGTGTTTGTTGCTAAATCGTGTGGTGGATGTAGAAAATCCAGAAAGACATATTGTTTATGTAACAATAGCGCTTTTTGTGGAATTTTTATGTAAAAGAAAAACTGCTGGAGACGAGAAGGCGACAGCCAAAAAGCAAAGTGTACTGCTTCGTCATTTTAATACACTTATCGGTTACAGCAACACCGAAAAATGCTTCACCATACCACCTAAACGACTTCGGTAAGTTTATTTATTATAAGGCGCAAATTTTATGGTTCATTTTGTCTAATTGAAGAGTTTCCCACACAACTATATCCTTCACTCATACTAAGCAATCTGTTGTCGTTTAATGGTTGGAAAAGTAGCGATTTGACTGTTTCAGCAAGTCAGCAGTATGCAATGCATTTCTATGCGGTTTACCAGAAATACTAGACTCAAAATTGGTGATTGCAAACCAGGTTTGTTTTCTTTTTACCTCAACTGTTTTGAGAGGTTGAGAATTAATGATGATCAACTTGGCTAAACGTGTTATGTATTCTTTAGTCCTAAAAGTACTGGCTAATACAATAACAAAAAACTTCACATTTAAGCATTGTAAGTTACTCTAAAAATCGCTAACTTTCAGCTCGTAACGATGAGTTTACAACTTTTATTACATTTACCGTCACCACAACTCCTAGCAAGTGACCAACCGGCTAAGGAGTACCCACTGTCGCCCTTAAATGCCACATCTCGCCAACTGTGGCTTAACTCAACTATTCTTGTTTTATATAAAGTAAGCAGGCATTCAGTACTTACTGTTTGGAGCAAGTTTCCCCAAAATGAACATTTTTGCCTTTTTTTTTTGTAAATTGGGGAGCTTTGTAGTTTATATATATTTGAAGTCTTGAATTTTTAAAAAATTATAAGTTTAATGGGAATTTTTAATTTGAAAAAAGTTTTGGAAAAATTGATTTTGACCGGAAGGTAAGTAACGGTCGAAGAGCTTACCTATACATTTCTTTTAATCCTTAGTTCTTCCACTTTTCAGTACCGCTACGACACCCCTCCATGCAGTGATCTGGTGTTGAGACTAATAGCAATAATTATTTGTACATTAGAGTGTCAGGTATTGTTTAAATGTTATTGATATTTCCGAAATTTAAAGTTCCAAAATTTTATTTTATTTTTGATGTTTTAATCGCTGTTTAAAAACGCTTACTTTTTCGACAGTCGTTTGCCAATAATAATTTAGGTGCATAAATGTGATCCATTAGCAGCTCCAGCAAAAATTGAACTCAAGCTCTGGTCAGATTCATCTGATGAAGAAAACATTGATCCAAAAGAAGAGAAAAATGGAAGACATTTTCGACGACCTGACTCATTGGCACTTTCCAATTCGACGTCGTCTGCAAATGCCAGCCTGGGAGACATGACAATTGTTGTTCCAACAATTGTTACGCCTATAGATGAAGTTATTACTTGATCTATTTAGTCAAATATTTATCAAAGCATCAACCTAGCGGCAACCTTTACTGTTAACTAATAATTGTTTGTTTAGAATGCTGAGGGCAAATTGGAAGTAATCACCGAGGATGGTGGAAGTACACGTTCTCGAAGAACTATGAGTCGTAAAAGTCGTTACAAAAGGAGATTGAGTAAGGGAGGTGTAGGTGTAGGTTAGTTCTTTTTTTTGGTTTTCAGATTTACATAGCCAAAATTGCTCTCGAAACTCGTGAAACTTCTCATCTAAAATTATATTCCGGTTAAAAAAATAAACTTAACGAGACAAATTTATCTATGAATGAATAATTTGAAAAATAAGTAGCATTTAGGAGCAGAAAATGAAATTAATCGCAATAGTCTTCGGTGCGGATACTGTAATGAGCCGATTGACAATTTTGACGAGGAAACGATTTCACTGTGTTTAATTGCATTGGAAACGTTCCTTCATCGACAGCCAGCGATGGCTTCACCAATGCTATTCAGGGTCATTCATACTGTTACCAGGTAGCCATATCATTTTTTGATATTTTGGTATCCTATTTTATGCTCGAGTTATGAGAGGCATACATAGGAATTTTGCAAAAAGTGCTATTTTTTATTGGAGTCTTTGTTCAAAATCTTATCACTTCCAGCAAGCAAGTTTTGTTTAGAGTAACCATTCTTTTTTTAGGATCATAGAAAGGCCAATGTATCCATGGCACGATACGACAATTTTTGTGCCTGGAAACTGCAGGAGCGTAGCAAAGCAACTAATTCGTGTTGTACTGCATCAAGTCAGTTTTGTACATAAACCAGTAGTTTATTTTCCAAAAGTTAATGAAGAGAAGCTAGAGTTTTTGCCGCTTTATGATTGGTTTCAAATATTTTTTTCATTGCCTACTTTCTTAAAGTGCAGACGAGATGTTGACTAATGTCACATTGTAGATGTCGTCAAGCGGTATATGCCTACGACTGTTTGATACAAATATTGACGATCCTGAAGGCTTCTGGTCTACCATATCTTTTGCGCTTAGTGATTTTCCTGAACTAAACTCCGTTGCGATTGTTCAGATACTTCTTGAGGTCATATTAGCTCTGTTTTTCATTTTTAGAAAGCTCCTGAAAAAAATTTGTTCTAATTTGCCAAAATTTTAAAAACTGCGTTTAGGTCTCACAATCTTTAGCCTTGTTTGTACTAAGACCGGTACGTTTATTTAATGACTCAACAGGATCTTCTTCTTGTATTCATCGTACAATATGAGTGATTTCTTTTGTTATTTAAGGATCTACTGGAGCAGTGGCCTTCTCGGTTGTCGAGGATTCTCTACAATCTTTCTATATACATTTCATACGTATCAGCTGAGGTTTACACAGTGAATTGGTCGGCGGTGACTGTTTCACTAGACACATTTTTCCGGCGTCTCCTTACCCAGGTAGATAAATACTGCGTCAGTACAGAATATTCCAATTAGAAACCCGGTCGTTATCGATGTCTGCTACTAGATAACCTGGACGGGTTCATTATTTTAAGCTCATATATAACTCAGAAGTATTTCTTTTTTGATGCTTCGCTTTAGCTAACGCAAAAGACAACTGGTTGATTGTTGAAGATGTGCTTTAAATAGTTTCAAGTTTATAAGTATAGTCAGCCACTTTTGAATATTCTGTAATTTGAAAACTAATTTCTTGATTATTCTTTAAACTTTTTTTCAAGAAATACTCAAGGCAAATCAAGTTTGAATTATTACTTCTCCTTTTTTAAGAGAGATACAGTTAAAAACTTCAGATGCAGTGTGAGAACGGTACTCGTGAAGTTGTAAAAACCGAGCTGAAAAGTTGCATTCAAATAATGACATCTACAATGCACGTTCAGGCCTTCTCAACGTTCAAGGTAAAGTGTATTTCTTCCTTGTCGGCTCTGGATAACTTATGTTTGTTTCAAATTGTACTTTTCAGAACTCTATGGCACTAGTAGAAGGCTTCTCAAAATGGTTAACTGAATCAATGCATGAATGTAAAGCTGATCTCATCGATCTTTTAACTGTTTGTACAGCATGCAATCGAGCCTTAATACGGGTATAATCTTCAACTCCCTGTGATTCCACAGACTGTGTATTATCAAACAGCGAGAAGCTCTAGAGCTGAAAATGCTTACAAGTGTTTTGCCAGCGTCTCTAAAATTAAGTCATTGCAGGAGCGAGATAAACAGAGCCTGACCAAGGCTGTAGTATTCGAATTGGTTCAGGCACTTAAGTTCAAATGTACTATGCATGAACATAACTATACGGCAATCTTAGAAATGATACTTCAAGATCAAGGCGAAAATGTTTCTGAAGACGTTCCTGATGATAAGGTCTTTTCATTTTCATTTTCATTCGTTATATTTGATCAGCTAAAATTTGGAAGAAAAGAAAACAAATAGTACTTCAATAGTATGCATTAATGGAGGAACTAATCTTTTCAATCTCTCACTGATTGCAGTTTAACACATCTGCTAGTGAAGCAATTAGACCCCATTTGTTCGATCTAATTGACTTTATCGCTGATCTTCATGTCCTCGCTAAACTGAAGGTATGGACTATAGACTCTTTATGTCGACGCAAATAAAAAAAGCTGAAGATGAACAACTAAATGACTCTGCCGGCCACTAAATTTTACCAGAAAAATATTATTAGTGATTTAAAAACTGTTCTTGTTTTCAACTGTGATTTGTTAAAGAAGTTGACAAGTTCGGACAACGTTGGTGGAGACATAAAGACTGGATTAGCGGAAGTCGTTGCTGTCGAAATGAGTCGGTCAAACCTGAAAGACTCTAGAACTGTGGTAAGTTGAAGCGTTGGCGCACTGTTAATATTAACAGTAGCATCTTTCTTATGGATTTTAGTAATTACCAAAAATTTAGTCCCGCTTCATTCCTTGGTTGATGTCACCTCCATCTGTTACTCAGTCAACACCTGGAGCCTTTGCGGAATCTGTAACCAATGTTCGAGTACTATCCTGGTTGCTCCTGGGTGCCTTACATGCTAGCCAGCCTTGCCTTCCAGTCCCGATTGAATGTTCCCAACATATGGCTGACTATATTCACTTTGTTTTAGCGGGATTCGCTGACCAGTCAAAGGTAGGATGCACTGAGAGAACTTTGGAATTAAGTTCATGTTTTTCAGATGATAACTCAGTGACGGAAATTATTTACAGCAATCAGTGGTCCATATGTCCGCATTGTTCCATGCTTTTCATTTATGCCAACTGTGGACTGTTTACTGTGAACAAGCAGCAATTTCGTCAGATGAACTCTCTCAGAAAGCTTTGTCCAATGTGCTTGGCTTTTGGGTTCGGGTTACGCCAGCTATGCTTCAGCTACTTTCGCACTCCAAAGTTGTAAGTCTTTTTGTATTTCTTTGTTTTCGGGTAACCTGCAGTGCTGCAGTATGACAGTATAATCTTTTGTGCATCAAAAATGAAGTGGAAAATTTCAGGTAGCTGAAATGGTAAATTCACATTTCTTGACGATGATGCAGGCTTTACAGCAATGCAATTCGGAAGTTCTTTCTCAGTTAAGCGCAATGTGGCAACCGATTCTGACGGCTCATTATTCCCATATTCCAAGTCATCTGAGGCTGAAATTAGATTCCGGTGAAAGTCAACCATCGTTGCAGTCACAACCATTGTCTTCATGGCTGAAGAAAGTTCGTTATAAAATTGCACAAGTTGAACTTCAAACGTCAGCAGCCTCACCGTTCTATAACGTTTAGCTGAATTATTTCTTTCAATTTTTTCATTTCTTGGATTTATTTTTAATTGCTAAAGTGGAAGATACAAAAAGATAACATGCCTTACATTTCACAGGAAAATAAACGGTGATAAAGATGCCTTTTTTTTTCTTTGGCTACTCATATTCTGGTGTAATAAACTGAAGTGCTCTATATGATTTCAGTTGGTAACGTTGTCGTTGATCTCATTTTTTTCCAATTTTTTTTCTTCTTATCTACTAAATTCTCCTTCGTCGTCATCTTTATCTTCATCATCATCATTATCGTTGTTGTTATCAACAACGATCTTTGACCAGTTACCATTGAAATGTTCATCAAATATTGTTGTTGTTGCCCTGTATTTTTTTTCTAATACTTCTTTAATAACAGTACCGGTAATAACTGATAAAAGAAGAATTTTAGCAGTTTTGATATGTAGTGAAGGAAAAAAAGTATTGTTAATTTTTGTTTTTTCAAATCTACATCGATGCCTTCTCGTTTATTCTATTTTGTCTTTTTTGTTTCTTTCTTTTCCATGTCAACCATGTTTTATTATTAAAATTTCATTACCACAACATTTATGAATCTTTGTTCCTTTTCTCTTTGTTATTTCTCGTCAAGAAAATAGAGATGAAAAAATTTATATGTTTCTAAAGAAAAAAGAAAGATTATTTGAATAAAAATGGTTATTTTGTTTTTGTCTTGCTTTTTTTTTTTTTGCACATACGAAAAGAGAGGTGCATTTTCAAAAAAATTTGAAAGCGAAAACCTAATTGTATTATTCTCATATATGTCACTACTAATGGGAGGAATGTGAGCATAAAAACATAGTTCATTAAGCAAATCCAGCCATAAGTGCCTAGTGGATAACTGTCTTAACATTGCTCATTAAGGACATAGTCATAAGCAAAGAAGAGGAAAAAAAAAGTTAAAAAGATCCAAAAATAGGAAAGAAACAGTCACTTAATTTATCAAACCTTAACCTTCACCTCTCCTTTTTGCAACCTCGACGGAAAAAAAAAAAAAAAACAACTGACCGAAATGAAACAACCCCGCTGACGACAGTATCAGTTGTCGTATGCGTCACAAAAAAACTACCTATACGTTATGTGAAAAAATTTAAATTTGAATTCTGTCATTACATATACGGTACAGACAGCGTAGTGCTACGGTTTATAAGTTGTAAAAAATTATGAATTCTTATGTACATCCATTTTTTTTCACCTTAAGTCATTAACGATTATCCGTTTAGTTGTTTCTTTGTATTAAACTATTTTCCATCCCATCCTATCCCATCCCCTTCTCCCTCTTCACATCCAACAAACAGAGATACTGAACAAGGTCTTAAAATGGTCGCCAAAAGAATGAGAGGGTTGAAACGGCGAAAACACCGCCGTACTGCTACAACTGTGACGACGACGGCGACGGCGACGAAAGAAATAGAGAAAGGAATGTGCAAATTTGAAAAATAAAAAAAAAAAATTTTAATCTGAAACAAGAAGAAATTAATTCATTTTTCTCCACTTATTACTTTTTTTTTTTCTTTTGAGATACATTTTTCGTTTATAACTCCTTTCCTTTAATTTTCTTTCCCTTCACTTTTTATTTTATTTTATTTTATTTTTTGCTTTTCTGTCGACAACCAGAAATGAAAAATTAAATTTTTCTGTGTAAATTTAAAGCCATTTTTTCTTTGCCAGTCTTTCCTCCACCTCCCTATTCCTCTTATTTTTTTTTTGTCTTGTTTTTCGATTAAAGGTAGAGTAGAGTCAGAAAAAATAAATTGAAGAAGAAATGCCGGCAAATGAAAGCCTTCTTCTATTGAATTTACAAAGTAAAGAGCGGAAGAAAAAAGAGAAATTACATCAATGCTGTTGAGTTGAAGAAGTTTTTTTTCGTAAATACAGCAATTATACAGCAAATAAACTGTCGCTTTAGTAAATCTTCTTATGCTCCTAAACTTTATTATTATTATTATTTTTTTTTTGATTTTTCTTCTGTTTTTCTGTCTATTACGGCTATTTCATAGGTGGATTAAACAGTAAGCGATAACCGACAAACTTAAACAGTAGCAGAAGTTTTTTCAAAATTCTTGTTTTTTCTTTTTTTCTTTTTTTTTTTTTGTTACCACATTCATTGACTTCTTCACCTTAGTCGTTATTCTTCTTGTTGTTTTTGCCTTCTTGTTGTTCAATTATTGCATCTGTTTCTGTCCGTTCGCCGTTCTTCCAAAGGTTCAGTTTTCTTCATTATTTCCTGCAAAATTCTTATGTACTCTTCTGTACCGTTCTGTTCTGTCAGTAATGTTTTAATTTAGTGAATTGTTAAAAATGTTTAGAAAAATTTAGGGATAAAAATGAAATTATTAGCGCCTTTTCTGTTTGTCCATCTTAACTGCCATATTCTCTGATCCCCTCAACCACCAACATTTTCCATTTTGATACAGCATATGGTAGTTACGAACTGAACAGGTCATTGAAACATCTGATCTGATGATCATCGTTCTGCAGGCAGATTTGATGAGATGATTAATTTTGTCGTAACACTGAACCTAATAGTGTAAATGAATATGAAAAAAAAAAGGTGATAATAATAATAATAATAATAATAGTAACAGAATGATAGGTATTTGCAGATTACATTAACGGTGGCTAATAGGAAGTGGAATGCCCAATTTTTTGATCACCAAAACTGATAACCAGCAACGAAAGAAAAAAAAAAAAAGAAAAAAATTTGAGAAATTTTATCTATCTACTTTTTTTTTCTATCTTCTATATTCTTATTTAATTATTCATTTATCTCTTTAGTTTTTATGCTTTCTAAACACGCAGATACGCATATACTTATAGATGATTTAAAACTGTTGTCGTTCGTTGAACGCCCTTGAAACTGTATTTACAAAAAAAAAAAAGTCAGTCTACAAGAATTTGTAAAAAAAAAAACTATTGTTTTTTTTTTTAACTTTTTAACCTGTCAATTATTTTACCGGTAAATTTTTGTTTTTTTTTTTTTTT